ATTATTTTACACATGAAATTACCAGATTGAATTTTATAGTCAAATATGTTATATTTTATTTTTTTTATATGTAATAATATAATAATATTATAAGCGATCTAATCAATCAATTTAACAAGATAACAATTAATAATTTTATAATATAATTAGATATGCAAATGCCTAACTGAAGGGGTCGGAGAAATACCTAAATAAACAACCGATTAAATACTCAAAGACTTATAAAAAAAATTAATAATTAAATTTAGCAATAATTAAAATACGAATTAATTATTCTACACTTAATTTAATTACAAATATAATTTATAAAAAAAATATTATTTAAATTTATTTACGTACAACATCATGCATTGCTAGCGTATTCTAAGAGAGAGAAGGCATATTTGCCTACTTGGGATCTAGATTGGGAGGGGATAAGGTTAAAACAAAAGGAGACAAGCTCATCACACTCAGGCATCTAGCTATTGAGGCCGGCTTATTGATGCTTGTAGCTAAAAGAATCTAGACAATTTCAATGATCTTACGTTTTCAAATGCATGGGTGATAGGTTCTGGACCTAGCTTTCCTCATACCTAGTCCACCTTACTATGTGACATAGGTGTCATCAGAAACAGATCCAAGAATTAAGTTTAATACGTAAAAATATTTTGAATGAGTTTGAAAGAACGATGGTGAACATCGGAAAAAAAAAAGGTTGGGATTGGAATAGAAAATAGGAACGAGACGCTTTATAAATGTAAGAATTACTTTATTACCTTACGTAGAATTTTGGAAATTTCTTTTTAAACTTTTTGCCCAGGGTTGATCGCTCCTCTCCTGCCTCCTATACTGTTGTTATCAGGTGTCATAAAACCATAAAACTGTTGGTAGTGAAAATCCATCTTGTTTTTGGGAGGTAGTCAACAAAGAGTATTTCCCAATAGAAACAAACTGAGCTCTTCCGGAATTGTTTCAGTTAGATACATTAAAGAGTATTTTCAATGTCTGTATATATATACACATAGATTTTGTAACCCTTGAGCATGGGCGGATTTACACAGGGAGCTGTGGGGGCAACTGCCCCCCAGTGCAATTTTTAAACAAATGCCCTCACTAAAAATTTGTATAAATTTGTCGTTACTTCTATATTTTAATAACACTTCAGGGTCTAAAAATCTACACTAATTTACCGACCTAATAATATGTTAAGCAATGTGGTCTCAAAGAATCAATCAAAAAGTCTTAATTACAATAGTACTGCCCAAAAAATACTATTTTAACATTTTTACTGTCGTGTCATTCGATTAACAATTTAAGATAGGTTTTCGGACCCTAATTATACTATTCCTTATTAGTATCTTTGTGACTTAAATATTTAGATTTAAGCTTCTTTCTATACAATTCAACGTCGTCACGTCTATCTTTTATCTCTAATTTTTTCGTTTTCTTACACGCTAAGTCACCAATCATTATCAATTAAAATCTATTTGCGAAATCCTAGCGAGTTTAGTGGTTATCATTTAGCTGGTCTATTTAATTATTCCATCCCTAAAGATGAAAATATGAGAACATCATGATATGGTGATGGGGATAAATATAGTATGTTGATTTCTATCCACATGTAGATTTGGCACATTAATGAATTAGTCATAGGTTATTTTCCAACATTTTCTTCTGTTTCTGTGCCTTAGACATGATGCATATCTAAATTTCATGATCTCTCTTATCCCGATTCGGAGACGTTTCAAATTCGAATTGTATTAACTTATCTTATAAAAAAAATAGTGAAAACTATGTTTTTTATCTTGTCCTTTCTTAAGGTAATGTGGCAAGAAAGATAGGCATAAAATTGTACCAATATAACTTGATAATGATTCTTCACTGGCCTCTTATTGTAGCAGCTGTCGGCAAATTTTGCTAGGTACAGAGAAATTGAATTGTTCCAAAGTCCGACCAAACAGTCCATTGTTTCTTCCTTGTAGGATCGGGGATGGAAAAATCAGACATTCATAGTCTTTACCCACCACGCAAAGAATATATTCCTATAACTCGAATTCATGATTCTCAAATTATAACCATACATTATACTTCGTGAAACCAATATTCAAAACACACACACTCACACATATTATTTATATCTATATCAATATATATATATATATATATACTATTAATAAAAGTACTTTAACATGAAAAACTTTTGAATATCTATTTTACCTTTATAAGGAATTACAAAGACCACTCTACTATTTTACAATTAAATATCTAAATTATCAACATATCCTTATGTATTTAAATCTCCAAATTATCTCTAACATATCTTTTAATTATCTATTTATTCTCTATGTATAAATATCAATTTCTATAAAAAAAAAATTGATTGACTATATTACTTAAAAAAAATATGCATCATTATATTTTCAATAAAGTGTTCAAAAAACTTTCAAAAATTTTATCAATCTAATATTACTTATCTCATATACAAAGATAATATTATGTCTACATATGTGTATTTTCTATTTCATCAAAAAGTTTAATCATTTCATTTCTAAGATAGAAAATAATCGGATATATAGTTTTTTAAAATCAATTTATTTGACATTAGTAGAATTCTTCGGTCATAATAAACTTTCTAGACTGTATTAAGATATTGTGAAAATAGATATTATAGTATATTTTTAAGTAAAAATTAAATTGTTTAGAATTTTAATATGTTTGATAATATAGAGTAGTATATTAAATCTTATCTCAATTCACCTAAACAATTCCTAATTACAATAAAGTTCCAATATAATTAATATATCGATAAATACTTTTATTATATTCAAAGAATTATAAGTAGAATCCTAATAAAATTAATTTAAAAAAAATTAATTTCTCAAAGATCACTGGAAAAAAAAATCTCAATCACAAAATTCTAAAATAATAGAAATTTAACTATTTTTTTTAATCTTTTCTCTTATAATTAAAACAAAGAATTTTGGGAACATATAAATTTTTCACAATCTTACAATAGAATATGAACAACAAAAAAATAAGTTTGTTAAATAAGAAATAATATTTAATTCAAATATATATATATATACCTAATATGTTTTATTTTTTTTGATATAAAATTATTCGTGTGCAACGCACATGCTGCATTGCTAGTCAATATAAATATACAATAAAACAAAGCCCTTCTAAAGATATAAAACACACAAAATAGGTTGAATCATTTAAAGTTATGATCTAGCAATTTATTTGATAATTTACGTTTTAATCGCAATAAACTTGTCTCATAGCCACAGGAAATGTGCCCTTATATATACTTGTATTTTGACTAAAGAAAGTGTACCTACTTATATTTGAACTGCTCACTTATATTTTAATTACACTAAAAGAAAGAGTTCTCGCACTTTTAGCAGTGTGTTTGCACGGGGTATGACTAGTGTGCGAAATATATTATTTATGTTGCCAAGATTCTCATCTCGTATACTTTGAAGGAGAGCATCAAACTCTTCCAACCTCTTCCTGTCGACATTCTAGTTTTCCTTCCATGATCAATAAAATTCTTTGGGCCATGGGTATTTTCTCATGATCAACAAATCTGGGTCCCTTTTGTGGAAGTAGATATCCATTCTCATTCAAAGTCAAATGAAGTAATCTTCGTAGCAAATTGAAACTGGCTAATAATGGGTGATGTGATGTCAAAATTTGTAATCAGTTATAGTCGTGTGTTGTACATGGTTAATCATACTTAGTTAATACGATTCGGAGATATATAGCCAATTTTGTTTCAATCATGTTCGTTGGCTTAATTTCATTGTCAGCTTCTCTGACTTAATTAATGAGACAATTCAAATCTTAGGTAAATATAATAATCCTATAAGTACAATCACTTTTATGCACTATTTCAATATATATCATTAGATTAGCAGGTCGTACAAAATTTGTCAAATATACAACGATTATGATATAAGTGAAGTAGTAGTGTACAAAGGTGGTGTGCACAGTATGTGTTTTTTGCACAAAATTAAATTCTTTAGACAATAATTGAGTTGATTGTCGGATATGACACATTACCCCCCACCCAAAAAAAACTCCAACAAGTTCATATCATCCCCGTTTTTTGAATTTATGAAAAATCGGATATAAGCAATTTTATTTCTATTACAAAGATGTTGTTTTTGACTCGAACTCCTAACACCCATTTCATAATACAATAACATTGTCCTCATGCTATTACCCCTCTCAAGTAAGTTTCAATATGATTTTTGAATAAAATAAAATTTGTCGACGTAGATAAATCTTTAGCCACTACAAAAGAACTAAAAGACCCTCTAAGAGCTCTTATCTTTTTTTGTACCTAAATTTTAATATAATTTAAAATACTTCTCTAATGTTATGCTCATATCCGTATCAAACGAAGAAAACCCTTTTTTTAAACTCAAATTAAGAAAGACATTTTTTGAAATTTAAATCTTTAATGATGAGATTTTTTAATAATCATATTTTATCTTATTTTAAATTTGAGTTTATCTTCATTTAAATTTGAATTTCTCTTCTTTTAAATTTAAGTTTTTCCATTTGTGAAGTCTATACCAAATTATATTTTTTATTTTTATTTAAATTTAAATTTTCATCCAAAATAGTCTAATAATTCAAAAATTGGGGTGATCGGTTGAAGTGAGGCAAGCCCCTCAAAAAGAATAATATTAAATAGACTTAAAAATTAAATTTGATAATTTTAATCATTAAATAGATAATGGGTATCAAATAATATTAGGACTTACAGTAAAATTAATGAACGATTATAATTATGGAATCTATTTTTTAAATTCATTGTTTCCTCAAAAATAATCATTTTTCTCATCAAATCTTAAGCGAAATTGGATATCCAGCTATTTTGTGCCAGGTAAGCCGCCCTCAGCTGATTATAAATGTTGTCTCTGTTGTTAACTTCTAACACTTGACAGCCCTCTCTCTCTCTCTCTCTCACATACACACACACACTCAGCTCTGAACAGATTCCTTCAGCCATGGCGGTTTCAGGGTCTATCATTGGGTTGAACCCATCTATCTCCCCATGCCTCACAGCTCCAAAGCTTCAACATAGTGCAAGAAAACAGGTCAGTTCATACAAATCCTTCATTTCCAATTAAGTTTTTTGTTCTTGTCATCCAGGTTTCATTATCATTGCTTTTCTGAGAATGATGCCATTCACCCAGATCAAAAACAAAGAAGGGGGGAGAGAGAGAGAGAGAGAGAGATCCATGATGCTATTTCTCTGTTTCAAGGATAAAACATAATTTTCTTTGTAAACTTTGAATTCTGTAATGGTGTAATGGTGTTGGTGTATGTGCTCCAGTTCTGTGTGAGAGCTTCTGCTACTGGTTCAGATGGTGAGGAAGGGAAGATGATGATGTGGAAAGGGAAAGATGGTTGGAAGATTGATTTCTCCGGAGAAAAGCCACCCACGCCATTACTGGATACTATCAATTATCCAATCCACATGAAGAACCTCTCCACACAGGTATTGATGTGTTTCTCTTTGTGGTAAGACTAAGGAAAGTTACATTTTGAGGTCCAGTTACCAACCAAGCAACCAAATCAAGTCTTATGTCCCAATCATTTGGGGTCTAATTATAACTCAAAAAGTTGAGATGGATCCTCAATCCCAAACAACTCCACTTATCATGTCATCACTAAATTCAGTCGTAACATCACCCTTATTTTAAAGTAATTTTAAACCTTCGGTACAGTAGACTTACCCTTCTTCTGCTGGAGTGTAGTAAAATTTCTCTTTCCTACTAGTTTGCATTGTTTCTTTCTTTGTTCTTCTCCTCCCTCCTTTGCCTTATTTTGGGTTCTTGTGTTTGTTCTTTCAGGATCTTGAACAACTAGCTGCAGAGCTTAGAGCAGATATTGTATTCACTGTGGCAAAGACAGGTGGACATTTAAGTGCAAGCTTGGGAGTAGTGGATTTGGCTGTGGCTCTGCATCATGTTTTCAACACTCCTGATGACAGAATCATATGGGATGTTGGTCATCAGGTGAAAAAACTGTTGTCACATATGCGAATAAAGAGAAATATGGGGTTATAATATCAAATTATTTAGTAACTTTGCCCCTGTAAAACTTCTGTCCCAAAAAAGCAAAATAATATGAATTTACAGTTCCTAGATAACTACAGCTGAGTAGAACAATATTATTGCAGGCATACCCCCACAAAATTTTGACAGGGAGGAGGTCTAAGATGCACACCATTAGAAAAACTTCAGGGCTAGCAGGGTTTCCAAAGAGGGATGAGAGTATATATGATGCTTTTGGTGCAGGGCATAGTTCTACTAGCATCTCTGCTGGTTTAGGTATGTGTTTAATAGTTCTATCTATCCCATTTTTCTTCTATTTGTGTTAGATAACACTAAATACAATTTATTCCATAGGGCAAAGAAGAGAAATATTGAACTTACTTCGTATCGAACAAATTTTGGTAGGTATGGCAGTGGCAAGAGATCTTTTAGGGAAGAACAACAATGTAATTTCTGTGATTGGGGATGGAGCCATGACTGCAGGACAAGCATATGAGGCCATGAACAATGCAGGTTTCCTTGATTCTAACCTGATTGTCGTGTTGAATGACAATAAGCAGGTCTCTTTACCAACTGCTACTCTTGATGGCCCTGCAACTCCTGTTGGAGCCCTCAGCAGTGCTTTGAGCAAGCTTCAGGCAAGCCCCAAGTTCCGAAAACTTCGTGAAGCTGCAAAAGTAAACCTCTCTCAGCCTTCCTTTTGTGACCTGCCTCTTATAATTCCTCATCTCTTTTTATAAAATTGAAAGCGATCTGATTCTGATTTTACCTGTGGAAAGAGTATCACAAAGCAAATTGGACCGCAAGCACACGAAGTTGCAGCAAAAGTAGATGAATATGCAAGGGGTATGCTTAGTGCTCCTGGGTCTACTCTGTTTGAGGAGCTCGGACTATACTACATTGGACCAGTAGATGGGCACAATATTGAAGACTTGGTAACCATTTTCGAAAAAGTAAAAGCCATGCCTGCACCAGGACCAGTTCTGATTCACATTGTGACAGAGAAAGGAAAGGGGTATCCCCCAGCTGAGGCTGCAGCTGACAAAATGCATGGTGAGGCAACAACCCTATAATCCAATAAAGTTAAAAGAGTTTTATAAGCAAAATCTTAATATCCCATTCTTTCAGGGGTTGTGAAGTTCGATCCACACACGGGAAAGCAATCTAAGCCGAAATCTTCTACACTTTCATATACTCGGTACTTCGCCGAATCACTGATAAAAGAAGCCGAGGTAGATAACAGGATTGTAGGCATCCATGCAGCAATGGGTGGAGGGACTGGCCTCAATTATTTCCAGAAAAAGTTTCCAGATCGCTGTTTCGATGTGGGTATTGCAGAGCAACATGCTGTTACTTTCGCAGCTGGTTTAGCCACAGAAGGTCTTAAACCATTCTGTGCAATTTATTCATCATTCCTGCAACGAGGCTATGATCAGGTGAGCAAGTGAAGTTGATAACTAGGTGAAATTTAAAATTTTCATTTGAGACTTTCACACTAATGATTAATGAATTACCACGGATATGAAGGTGGTGCACGACGTAGATCTTCAGAAATTACCTGTCCGCTTTGCAATGGATCGAGCTGGTTTGGTTGGTGCAGATGGACCAACTCACTGTGGAGCATTTGATGTTGCTTATATGGCTTGCTTGCCCAACATGGTGGTCATGGCTCCATCTGATGAAACAGAGCTGATGCACATGGTTGCGACAGCAGCAGCCATTGATGACAGACCAAGCTGCTTCAGATTTCCGAGGGGCAATGGAATAGGAGCAGTTCTTCCTCCTAATAACAAAGGAACGCCTCTTGAGGTTAGCATTATAAGTAACCAACTTCAAAAGCTCAGCACACAGTTCAAAATGAATACTTTATAATTTAATTTTTGAACATTTAACAGATAGGGAAGGGAAGAATACTAATGGAAGGCAGTAGAGTTGCGATTTTGGGATATGGCGCAATTGTGCAACAATGCCTGGAAGCTGCAGGGTTGCTCAAAACCCATAATATAGCTGCAACAGTAGCTGACGCAAGGTTCTGCAAACCACTGGATGCAGAACTTATCAAGAGATTGGCCAATGAACATGAAATCTTAATTACAGTGGAGGAAGGTTCTATTGGAGGGTTTGGATCTCATGTATCTCACTTCCTAAGCTTAAGTGGTATTCTAGATGGACCTCTCAAGGTAACTTTCTTCAACACAGATTTCTTGCTCAAAATGCATTTTCTTTTCTATGTTTCAACCAGACTGTGATGTTATTGAAACTTCCTGCAGTTGAGAGCAATGGTACTTCCTGATAGATATATAGACCATGGATCACCCCAAGATCAGATTGAAGAAGCAGGTCTTTCTTCTAGACACATAAGCTCAACAGTGTTATCACTATTGGGGAGGACCAAGGAAGCTCTTAAATTGAAGTAAATCCACAAAGTAAAGCATACGCCTTTCTATTTGCGAAAAATTTATTACAAATTTTTCGATGGTTTTGTATTGGTTTCGCAGGGATAGTAAAGATAGAGAACCCAACTCAAAAAGGCTTATTATCTTTGGTGTTTTGAAAGGACTATAATCCTAGAGTCATAGGAAATCTTAACTCAATTTCCAATATGATATTGCAAGATTATTTCGGGGAATTGAAATGAACTGTGCAAGGAATAATTTTTCTGTATCTCCTTTTGTAATTCCTCTCATATAATACACAAAACTTCCCAAAACATCAAATATAAAATGGTCCTGTAAGAAAACACCAAATACTATACTATAGCATTTTTCTGGTTTGTTGAAGTTCAACACGTCATTGGCTTGGGCAAAATGGAGCATAATTGCATACATTAGTTGTTGTCAATTAAGCCCTGTGTTCTATACCCATTAACCAGCTATAATGGGAAATCACCTGTCTCAATTCTGTAAAGCATACGCATTGATCAATCGGGGGCAGAAGCTTGTGATTCAAGTGTAGATTAATCCCCGTTGTAGAAAAATAGACAGCAGATCATCAGCAGTCCAGATCAGTGTCTGTGCAAATCAGCCCAAAAAGAGTAGGGCTAGCTTCTCACTATGATAATTCAAAGCCCTCTCTTTCTCCTGCTCATCCAAATTTTGAAACACAAATTTTGTATCCGGAAGCACCTTAACCTTCTCAATCAATGCTTCAAACGTGTGATGTATCTCTCTAGAATTTGAGTGGGACCAATCTCCAGCCATGAAAGTATGAACCTCCCAATCAACATCAACCCAACTCATTGCAGGATTCTTTTTCAAATTCATTACCCTCATGGTGATTTTCATTTCAATCACATGGTTCCAAAATTCCAATTACCAGTTGAAGCATAAAGATTTGATTACAGGACATGAATCCCCTCATCTCTTGGTGCAAAAGCTCAAGCACACTATCCATCACTCTCTTTACCATCTCAAGCTCTCCATGAATCCTACATGCTCTCAGAAACGTCCATAAGACAGACACCTGGATTTTTTACTTGGTTTATAAACATTTCTGCTTCTTGAGTCTCCCAGCACGGCCCAGCAAATCAACCGTGCAAGCATAGTGATCCATTGTGAGTTCCATGGTATGATTGGTCTGACATGCAGGAGGCAAAGATTTCACAACCTTCGTCAATCAAGACTGCATTGTTGCAAGCTGAGAGAACACCCACAAAAACGTTACATTTGGTTCATGGCCTAAATCTTTCATCCTACTGTACAATGCAAGTGCTTCATGTCCAAAACCTTTCCGGGCATAGCCATAGATGATCAAGTTCCTAAGTACCACATCTAATTCACATAAACCATCAAAATTGATCTTGCCTTATCTATACACCCACATCTCCCATACAATTCAATTAATGCATTTCCAGTATATTTATCTGTCTAATCCAAATTCATAACTACTGCGTGAACTTCTTTTCCCAGTTCAAGCATTGCAAGGCTCGAACATGCCCGAAGAGCACCTTGACAATGTGAAATAATTCAGGTTTAGTGAGGTACGTATCATTTGGCGGAACTTTTACAACACAATCTCTTTACCATTTTGCCCAAGATCCACTATCAGAGATGTTTACGTCACCTGGTTTGGGTTAGCAATCCGCTTGAAAACTTCTAAAGATTCATCAACCAAATCACACTTTTAGAATACATAGTAAGGAGCGAAGTTTGTGAAGCAAATGCAGATTCAAATCCGCACTTGATGATAAGGACATGAATCAATTTACCTTCACAGAATTCCCCTAAATTTCCACAATTAATTAATATCCTTGCCAAACTACACTCATTAGCCTTAACACCCCTCTTTAACCATATTTACAAAAACGTCAGAAGCCTCACAGTCTTCACCAAGTTGTGAGTAACCAACAATCAAAGCTGTAATCAGAACCTCCTCTTTCCCCCACAACTCCATCCGAAACCAACCGGGCATCCCTCATTTTCCCTAGTGCACTACTAACAAACAGATTGGTCACCTCCAAGCCCAAAACCACTGACAACCCATTAGCTCTCCAGCCTTCATGAACAAGACCCAGATCGGAAAATGCCTTGAAAAACACTAGAGAACGTGAATTCTTCAGGAAAAACACCCTCCCTTACCATCCTCTCATAAAGCCTTGTAGCCTCTTCACTTCTTCTACTCCTGATATACGAAACAATCATTGAATTCTCTGTGACTATGTGCCTGTTGGGCAATTCATCGAACAGTTTACGTGCCTCCACAATGCTATAATAGTGTCACTATTATATCACCATCTAATAAAAAAATAATTAAATAAGAAAAATAACATCAGCTTCTATATACGAGATAGTTCTTATATTACATAACTAGATAATTACTGAATTATTTAGAGTCTATTTATTATGTTATGACTTATATATGATACTGCGTGTCACGGCTCAAGTCGACTCAGCTTGACTCAAATTCTAGATCATATGCTCAAGGTTGGCACAAACTCAAGCCCAACTCAGATGTGAAATGAGCTCAAGTAATTGAAGAGATTCCATTCGCATTACAATCTGAACAAACTTAAACGAGCTAAAACAGGTCAAACATGAGCCAAGCTTGAGCTGCTGAATTAGTTAAAAATCCTAAACCTAATCAAGACCTTGTCATCAAAAATAAGACAAAAATCAAGAGGGGTAAATTTATATCATAATGAGATGGCATAGCACATAGTATCAGCATTGTTCTTTGTTAAATGCATTTTGGCTACCAGTACCAAACCTTGGTCCCTTGACCTTCCGTTACTCAAAACATACACACATTCAAGTACATGGCCATTCATATTGTTGTTCCGTACCACCACCTCTGTTCACCTTGCAGAAAAGTTTGACAAAGATGCGTAATTCCCTATCAATCTTTAGATCGTCCCTAGTAAAAAGACCTTTTGATACACAGACTAATGATCATGCTAACAAACTACTTCTGCAGCTTTACAACTGTACCATCACTAGTTGCTATTAGAGGGGAGAAGGCTAACTGCACAACAACTTTGTTTTAACAATCCTAAGCGCTGACACCCATAATCTAGAAATTACGCTCAAACTCGGATGAAGGCTTGAAGCAGGCTCTCTGCAACCTGGATTTGATCAGGCACCCCGGATATGATTACCTTCCCATCTTGTTCACCAGGGCGAGGATCTTGCATTATTACTGTTGCACCTGAAATCTGATCCATATCACCAGACAAGAAACGTCATTAAAACAAAAATTAATCTGGAAGTTTGATAACAATGACACTGTTTTATATGCAGTCACACAAACACAATGCATGGGCACATCCTTAGAGGCAACACAAAGTTCCAATAGGATAACTCAGGTACAGTAAAACTAAAAAATACAATGCAGAGGCTCACAGCTTCAATGCTACAAGAATATAAACTGTCATCCCTTCAGGTTCTTGCCAAGAAAAAAGCCCAATCTCAACTAAAGAAGGTTTGCTAGCCTGTCTTACACCTAAGCAGACAGATTGGCTTCAATCAAATGATTAAGAATTTCGACCACCAGATTCTTTTTTTTGGTACTAAAGAATTTGGACTACCAGATTCAAGACATGTAAAACAAGATATTATAGGTTTTGGAAATCTCTAGAATGCTGAAACAATTAAAACAATATGTGGAGCAAATAAAAATTGGTTTAGACAAATCAGTGCCAAGAGAGTCTGAACTTACAAGTTACATCCTTCCTGGTCCAATGAAGGAATAAGCCCAATCTCAATTTGAAAAAGCTTTCTTAGTTAGCAAGTCGAACATCTAAGGAAGGGAAAGCGCAGTGTGACTCCGTGCAAATAACTTTCTTTATTCATGATATACCATTGAAAATGAAGAGTCCTTCCTAAATTCGTGATTGATGGAACCACTGCCACCTAGGGGGTGGTCAACTTGCTGCCAGAAAGGCAGAAAGGGATGAGCATCGTTAGAGCTTGTGGTGTTCTCATCATTCATATGAGTAGGGCCTCTTTCTCGTTGATCAATTAACCCCCGCTCTATTGAAACATCCCCATTTCTATGCCAGTTTTGTCAACAAACATGTCCCGGGCTGGATTGATTAACCTAATCCTCAAGGAGGCTTGTCGTAGTTGGGTGCTTTGCTTTGGTTTGATTTAAGGTGGCTCGGCTAGATTTGGTAATACAAAGTTTCAAACTATAGGCCAATACCGATACGACTTGGCCAAGTGCACCTTCCAATCTGACACCATCGCAGCCTCCCAGGTTTTGTTTAAACCACTAATCTCATGCAATTTAGACGAGTCGGCCGAGTCATCGTCACCAAATAGGCCATACCAACGACAATGTCACGATATGACTGGAATCTCGCGTCATGTTGAATGTTTACTTTTATCCAGCATTTAATGTGTATCATCCAATACTATTATGCGAAGCCACTACCGTTATGTCTGTGTGCCCCCGAGTCGATGACCAACATCTTTAACCATAGGTAACACCCAAAAAAAATGAAAAGAGATCAAAATCAATATTTGGCAAGGAACTCCAACCCCTCACCCCCCCCCCCTTTTCTTTTCCTAGGCCAACCAGAAAAAATAAAGGAATTCAAAAACATTAGTTCCACCTTTGAGGAACTCAAAGGTCGGAGCCAACAATCACAAGCTTTAAGGACTCTTAACAACTGGAATCTCCTTTAAATTACTCATATATATCTTTGTGAAAATCGAAAGGCAAAAACTATTCTAGGATAATTTTGAATCCGTTCTATTCAAATATCAATCCATCTTCGTTCAACAAGGTTTACGCATTAAAAAAAACTGTAGGGCTTTAACCTTTGTTATAGAAATTCTCAATGGCCAAGGGCTAAGCTTTATCCCCCATGGGCATCAACAGGTTCTCAATGGAAATAAGGAATGCAAATTAAAATTAACCACTACCTTTGAATCCCAAATCTACAAAAAATAAATTAAGGATTGGGGGAGCAATTTGGCAAAGCCAGCCCAATGCATGGGCAGTTGAAATCTTCGCCTAGAGCCCCCAAATTTTTAGGGCCCCAAAAAATTTTTAGATTCAGATTTAATTAAACTGAATTTCGTTTTTAGGGATGTTAAATTTATGTTCAATTAAGTCTAATTTTGTTTTCAGGGCTGAAGCAAAATTTTTAGATTGATGTTTAATTAAGTCTAATTTTATGTTAAGGGCACCAATTAAAAAATTTTAGGCTCAGACTCAATTTAGCCCAATTTTTTCTTAAGGCCCCAGATATAATATTTATATCCATGTTCAGTTAAGTCTACTTTTATTTTCAGGGCTCCAAATAAAATTTTCCAACCCAGATTTAATTAAGTCTAATTTTGGTCTCAGGCTTCAAATAAAATTTTCATACCTATGTTTAATAAAATCCATTTTTTTTTTCAGGGCTCCTAAAAGTTTGTTAGGAAAGTGTTTAGGCTTATGTTTAATAAAGTCCAGTTATTTTTACATTTTAATCTAATGCTGGCTATTTCTTTAATTATTCTACTATTTATGTCTTAGAACTTACCGTGTGTAACAAAACTATGCAATTATTTTTTTATATATTATTTCCAACCACTTTGATCAACTTTAAAAATTATTTATTTGTTTATTCTATTATTTGATAGTCTTTTCATAAGTTAACTTAGTTTAAATCTAAATTAAATTTGTTGAGAACTTCTTTTCATTGACTGTAACAACATAAAAATTACCTGAGTGTGAGGTATGAGACTTGAAATTTATTATTCATAACTTTTTTATTGTCAACAATTAGACTAACAAAAATCTAATAAATCATTTTCTTCCTATTATACCAACTATTAGCCCTTGAATGAATGTTATCAGCTAAAATGATATGGAAAATACATACAAAAGTTTAAATAGTAATTTTTCATCTCAGATAGTAAAAAATTAAATTTTGATATCTAAATAACTATTTAAAGAATATCATATATTATCATCACAATATAATGGGGCCTTATCCAAGAATTTCGCCTAGGGCCTCAATTTGCATTGGGCTGCCCCTGATATATGGCAGAGTTTTACCTCTTTTAGACGAGCCAGATTGCTACCATTCTCACCATAGATGGAGCCAAAAGCTTGTTCAGGAACTACAACCTCTACAGTTTTATTTGTTACAACAGCAGGACCCATGCTGCACAAACCATTAAAAGAGTCAAAACCAGATAGAAGTAAGTTAATAGCTCACCTACTTTCAGAAAAAAAGTTAATAGCTCTCTTGGAATCTAAATAGACATAAACGGATCAGTTTTCCTATCTTTATTGTAGTCTCGAACTAGATCAGTTCTATCATTTTAAGATTCCAAACAGTCAATATTACTTTAGTCAAACGACAGGGCAGGATGTACAACGGATGAGGTCAAATGCCTTACAGAAGTTTGATTTATCCAATGAAATTCAGTAATTTACACAAGATTTCAATCTCAAAATTGAGATATTGAAAAACACAAAAGCAAAGGTCATTATTTGAAACCTTAGACACCCTAACTTCGGATAAGCATCGAAAAAACCAATAATTCTCAACTGAATGCCTCACATAAACAAACATATCATTTGTGAAAAATCAAGGTAACTGGGTTGCTCAATGATGTGCAGAGGCCTCACCAGAGTCATTAATTAATAGTTTTGAGCAAATGAGCTCTTTAAATTGGCAGAGTGCTTACTCACCCAGCTTTGAAGAAAACTGGCACACATTTTTTATATCATTCACATATAATGAATATTACAGGTCTTCAGCCCCAGCCCATCCATATAAGCATTTATAGGCAACCCACTGAGTTATGTGGTCTATTAAGAATGTACTCATACTGCTTCCAGCAATTAAGAAGAGAGAGACTGGAGAAGACAATTTTGATGTCCGCCTCTATTTTCTAGTGTCCAATAAAACAAAATTTGATGCTCATCTCATGCAAAACTGACCTCCCATGATCAAGCCCACCTTTAGAAGTTGTCAAGCCTCCTACACTATCTTCTGGTGGTTTTCTTTCCCCTCTAGCCATTTTCTGCAGTCATTGAACTCTATACAGTGAAGTTCTCAGGTTGAACCACATCCTTAAGAAAAAAAGAGGGATATGAAGAAACGTAATACAAAATGGAGGGAACAGAACCTTCAGCTGTGAAGGCTGCAACCTTGGGGAGTGAGGAGCACCGAACTTGGGCAGAAATCCAAGGTGATCCACTTGATGAAAAGGATACCGACCTGAAAACTGGTCCGATCCAGGAGAAATAGTGTTCCCACTCTCATGGGGAATCCTATCAGGGATTGCAGAGAAAGAATAGCGCCCAACTCCTGCTCTATCAGATACCAGACTGGAAAAAATATTATTCCTCAGTCTACCGGTAATTTCAAATAGAGCACTCTTTACATTCTCATATTCACCAATAATCTGCAGAATAGAGCCTATGTAATTTCAGTCTAAATCAACTTTCCGTAACACCACAGATAATTCACAGTCAATATTGCCAACAAAACCGTAGTGCTTGAAATGTCTCCAAAGGATCCAAGCAGACCAGTGGTCTAGCCTTCTCCTAACAAAGAAAATAACAAAAAATGGAAACTAACAAAAAAAAAACCACTTACATTTCTATGTCAACTTTTGCATAAAATAAAGCAACAAGTTCACACACCCATCAGATACCGGAAACATAAAATTTGGGAATTTGAAAATTTTCAAAGGGCTTGACAAGAGAACCTGTCAATTCCCAGAATTTTCTCGACCTAAGAAAATCTTATTCTTGTGTCATTCATCCAATGTATATAGGTTCAGTATAAACATTGCATAGAGCATCCCAGGGAGTGAGGCTCACACCACTACAGTATCATAGAAGAGTTTAGTGGCTCAGTCCCTTGGTGCCCAACTCATAATATAACAAACTTACCGCTTCGCCTGGACCCGCCTCTGACAGCAGCAACATCATAAAGAAATCATAGAACAAGATTTTCAGCTTTTGACAAACCTATTGGGGAGTGGGGGTCAACAGTTAAAACCCGCACCTGCAAAACTCTATCATTCTCCGTGGCACAACTTGGAATAAAGTTCCCTCCCAGTAGCTGTATTTCAACACCAGTTAGAGTACTTATATCTGAAGCAACGCTTCCTCCTTCATCAATCAGGCAACTGGTTTGGTTTGACGCAACAAGAAGTCTTGCAGTTATAGTTTCCCCCTTACCCAAGCCTGATATGAGCCGGTGATCAAAGCCAACCTCAATGGATCTAGCAAAAACACGAACAATGGCAATTTGAGCAGGCGAGTACAATAGTTCAGGATTCTGCAACAGATTCCAACAATAATCAATCATCAAAGAAGAAAATATATTGGTGGGGTGCAACCACAAGAAAGGACAAATGTAAAATGTAAATGTCGTAGCCGTAATATGGTAGAGCATCAGTGGTAGCATGATAAACCTCCAATGAAGCAATAGTGGCAACACGCTCATTTGACCCAGGTACAGCAGCTGGAATCTTTATAGAAGCACCTGTTTCCTTCTCTAAAGATTTGACTATGGTTGCACCCTTGCCAATTAGACCCCCAACTGTCAATGTAGAGCAGAGCAATCTAAACACAACTTCTTGTTGCCCACTGTCTTTATCCAAAGTAAGGACTCTGTCAACGTCAGCTGACAATGATAGCCCAATCAAAGAATGGTCAACAGAATTACTAGGGGAATAGGCCGTGCGTGGATTACATAAAGATCCACAGTGTACCACTGCACTCTCTATTGGTGTGCGATCTTGTAAACGGCAGGAAACAGCAACCAAAGCCTTCTTTACAGAAACCATGCCGCCCATTATCTGCCATAATATTGGACGATCAATAAAAAAAATTATGCTTATGAAAAATAATTGAATATTAGCAACACCAAATGCATTTTCTCATTTACATTATTCAAGAAAAAATTTAAATAACTCATGACCACGGAGTTTTCTTTTTCAACTTGGTCTCCAATTTGACATGTAGATGATCATGCATATATCTAGACTAGCCATAACTACAAATGCATGAATCACACAACTAGCACTTAACTTGAAACTCAAGACTACCTCTTAACATATTTACGTTGGGATCCCCACCCCATGTACCAAGGAAGAAGGAAACCACATAGAAGTGTTTTCCTCATGGCACTTGGCAGTACAGCAGGTTCATTAGCACACTCAAGCATTTGTGTTTCTCTTGTTCAGTAGCTAAACAAACCAGTTGCCTGATTGTATTGTAGCAAAATACAATAGAGAGACTCTCTCTTAGGTACATACTATGATCCAATCTGGATGAATTAAGAAATAACAATGATCACAAAACTCTTTAAAAGCCACTGCCCATAAGAGCTTTGCTCTATAACCTCCCTTTTACATTCAAAAATTCTGTTAGTTCTTTCCATCTATCCCAACCAAAAAGTCACCATTACAACACAAGCCCAAAGTATAGAAGCTCTAGTCCCTTTCCCATAAGCCCGCAAGTTTCCACGGATAATGAAACACAATCACGTGGAATTACCCAATCCAATCAAGTTATACTTTTTTTGGTAAATGTGTGAAGAAACACTTCACACATACGTCACCATGCAATACGGGATTTGTCACCATCATTTACTCCTTTTAGGCCCACACATCCTAGTTTGGAATCCTCCCAACCCAATTGATGTACAATTCTACAGGATGACTCCCACCCACGACCCCTAGCCACCCTACAAATGATGTAGCTCCAAATCACGAGGATCAATGGCTTTGATACCATTTTGTTTAGCTTAGGACCCGGATCATAGGATGTTGTTCGTTTTGTACAACACCCGCACGACTTTAAGTCAGCATTATACCATGAAACCAAGTCATTCTATCTAGAATACTTGCTCGCATGCGAGACGAGACTGAAACTTAGGCCAAGGGCAGGACGTATTACGACTCAGACAAAATTGTATACAAAAGATTTATCATTGTCCTTCTATTACTTCATTGTCAACCCACATTATATTACTTCCCTTGAACCACACAACAACATTGGAATTCAAATACATCAAAACTAATAACTCACCTGGATCAATCGCTCCTCTGGCGTTGCGCAAACTGGAACCTGCTCTTTGTTCAAGACACGAATCTTTGCCCCCGTAGTTTTCTGAATCTCAGAAATAATTCGTCCTCCTTTCCCCATTACCGCCCCAATTTGCCCATTACCCACGAGCAATTTACAGCCAATGACCCCACCATTATTCCTTTCCACCTCCAAAACCCTCTCGAAAACCCTAATCAACCCCTCCTGTGCCTGCGACACCTCTTCACATCCTTCTATCAAGTTCTCGTCTCGAACATCAACTGCAATCTTCTTGTCAATGGCTGCATCGCCGATGATATTGATGACCCGTTCGTGGCAGTTCGGAATCGTGTCCTCCACCAAGATTTTCGCACCGGTTAAGTGTTCCAAGCGTTTGACGATTGCACCGGAGCTTCCGATGACTCCCCCAGCGTTGATCACGTGACATAGGAGCCGGAAGACCACTTGGCCTGCCTGCAGTGTGATGGATGTGTCCAGGGGTTTGGGTCCACAGCGCTTGGTGGCATCACGGTGGTGATTGTGATGACGGAGGTGGTGGCTCATTTTAGTTTTTCGAAGAGATAGAAATGAAGCAGCGTCAATCGTCCATAAGCACCTCTCTCTCTCTCTCTCTCCAGTGCGATATTCTGAAAAGTACTGGCTCGTCGAGGTCGCATGGGAGTGTCGCAGTGGGGAAGAAGAACCGAAAGCGCGCGGTGGGTACATTTAGAGGTGTCATGCCGTGCCTTACGCAACTTATTGATTCTGTCCGTTTGGATGCAAAGAGTGGTGAGTCTTACTCTGGAACGGGGTATACTTGCCTTTGATAACTAATCCCGTGTTTCTCAGCAGGAACATACACTAGTTAATATACATGTGCACGTGCATTTAATATTCAATAAATTCTTTTGTTGTTTTAGAAAATTGGCAATGATACTACATCTCTAAGAATATATTTATATTATTATAGAAAGTCCACTAATTGTTGATAATGAATATATAGAATTCAATCAAATCTATCTAATAAGATAGTTAGTATTTGAATCTTATATCAATATATTTTTTTTGCTCATTTTCTATCAGATTACTCATTTTTATCACAAGTTAAATAAATATCTAATTTTTATTTTCAGACATTCAAATGTATACATGATTTTTTATTTATTTTTTTAGGTCATGTATTTTAAAAAACAATTGTGGTTTTTTTTTGAAAAAAAACAATGCGTGGAAATTAGTCTATCTAATAAGATAGTTAGCAACTCAATATTATGAATCTTATCCCCACATATTTTTTTCACTCATTTTTATCATAAGTTGAATTATCTAATTTTTATTTCAGACATTCATATGCATGCACGTTGATTTTATTTATTTTTTTGAGATCATGCATTTAAAAAAAATGTCATTTTTTTGAAAAAAATTAATGGGTAGAAATTAAAAAAAAATCAAATTTTGACAATTTGTTATAATGAAATCAATTTTTTGAGCATTTGAATTTTGTGTTGTATCATGTCTTCGTGAACAGATTATTGCTAGTTGTCTTATATTATGATAGTTACTCAAACAATTATCTTCCGTTCATATGTAATAAGATAAATATGAAATAAAAAATAATTAGAGTAACTCTTAGTCTAAGAATCTAACCAAGAATGGTACAACCTCACGTAAGGAACAGAATTAGGAAAGTAGTAGGATTTTTATAATTAAAAGAAGTCACATAAATGACAACCAAGACCCATACCACTTAGAATAAAACATGGAGCGATAAACCATCATCTTTGTTGGATCATATGTTTATAATTGACTAATTTTTGTCGAATTAATATAAATCACTTACAAACAGATTTTTGATTTAATGATATTTCTTATCTTGTGAAAACTTTATATTTTTGAGGTCAGTAGTTCAAGTTTCCTCTTCCTTTCCCCACCTGAAAAAAAATATATAAAAAAAAATAGAGTAACACTAGATGAATATAAAAATTAGACTTTATAATCACAATTATCGAATATGCAATGGATCTCAATAAATGCTATGACCAAAAATAAAATCAATTGTTGTAATTATATTGTATTTTTTCAGTTCATGTAGCATTACTCAAAAAAAAAATAATGTAAATCACAACATTTTTCTATAGTCATGATACTACAACAATGAAGATTCAAAATCATCATTGAAAGAAGCAGATCATACGTCAAAGTTACATTAAAAATACTCTGCATGTACCTTCACACTTAGAGCAATGTAATGACCTAGAGACCTAAGTTGATCTCATAATTTAATACAATTAGGAGGATTAATGTAAAAATGGAATTGGTGTTAATCTGTGTATGACTTTTAAGTGATTTTCAAAGAAAATATTTTCTAAACTGTTTTATATGTTTTAAAAATATAGTTTGAGTCATTATCAGCCTTTTGAGCAATGTCATTTAGTTCTTAAAAGGATAAATTTTTTATTTAGTTTTAGACTTAAAAAAATTAGTAGGGACTGTCATTTACTCATTAGCCTTCATTAGAGTAGTCTCTTTATGACTTAAGAAAGAAACAAATAAAATGCCAAATGGAGAAGGTGTAGGGACCGCCCTTGAGGTCGCTCAAGTTATCTGCTCTTCTTAGGTCAGGTTGAAACTTATTTTTCATTTTAGTGACTACTGTCATATGACCGTTCTCCCATCACTCGAGTGGTAGTTTGTAAATTTGAGTTTTCTTGTTGATAAAGATTGCTCTTATTTCGAGTCTATTAATAGAAAATATCTTTCTCAACCTAGGATATCTCTTTTGTAAGCCGAATTATTGTCTCTTATACCTTATATATCACACCACAACCCTAGATTCTTAAACTCAATGCTATCATCTAGTGATTTTTATCCAACATCATAATTGGGTGAAAAAGATCTTGATTAGTTAAAGACTAAATCAATTAGTGTGTGCATACCGAGAATCATTGATACACCCAAAATTGCTCAAAAACCTAGAAGATCCATTTATGGCAGTGAATCCAAGTGAAAATACAAATAACGTTAGAGAGGCATTTTCAGTAGAAAGGTTTATTGAAGGAAAAGAACATACAACCATAGTATTGGGGTGGTGGATTAAGTTTATTTTTTCTAATGAGGGTTTCTGCGTTAATAAATTTTATGTGTTCTTTATTGTATTTTCATACACACTTGCAATTTGAGCACTCATATGTGCTATGTGTTTGATTGAATGAATGCTCGAATATCATAATTATATATATTTGTGCATCCAAGAGTTTGGGTCATTGGGTTGGAATCCCCATGGAAGATTGAGTTTGAGTGATTAATTATTAAAATCAATGCACTAATCTACATAGGTTCATGGAGTTGTTGTGATTAAACGGAGTTCTCACCATCAATTGATTAATATTTGTGAAAATAAATAATTGTGGTAATAATAGATTTTAATTTGTAATTGATTAAACTTAAAGTTTAAAAATCTATTCATTCCCCTCTAAGAAAAAATATTGTGTATAACCGTCTGATAATAACATAACATATGGCTGATGGATCCTACATGTTCTAATAATTACCCTGTCATGCCATTTAATAACCATTCAAGTAAAGTTCACTTTACCAATTTGTAGGTTTATTATTGGATGATGATATTATGTGCCAATAATAACGCTGTGTCACCATTACACCCAATATATTCTCTCCCTCTAGGTAGTATCGTGCGCTCTACATGTACAATAATAGTAAGAAAAAAAATCCGCATATATCTCCTCCTTCCGAAACAACAACCTTGATATATACCTTAGTTCCTTTCTTAACCAATGAACGGTTCTTTAAATAATGGAGTCTAGAAAGAACCTGAACATATCTTACTTGTTTATGGTAAATAGTCTTTTGTTAGCCCTGTCCATAAAAGAACAATTGTCTTTCCCAACTCCTATCCTCATTCCACAAAACCAACAATGTTGTATGCCTTCTCTTCTTTCAAATCAATGGAGTTAGAGTATGACTATTACTTGAATCAAAATTTAAAAATATATCTTTTGGATGTAAAAACACAAATATCTGAAATTCATAATTTAGGTATCCAAAGGTAAAGAAAAAAAAAATTCATTTCCATATGTTTTCTCCAAATTTATGACTCATTTCTTTAATTGCATTGATCCTTTTTTTTTTTTTTTTTGACCAGCACATCCTTAAAGTCACTATAGTGATGCATTTACAACAAAAACGAACATAATCATTAACGATAAGAATCTTTCAATAGCGTTTGACACATAATCATGGAATCAAATTTCAAACCAAAAACTTTTGTACAAATGATCATGTAAAAGGCATAAATTTAAATAAAGAACTTATTGTGTGACAGAGAGGGGGATGGGGGAGGTGTATGTAATGAAGTGAAGGAAACTACAATATGAAATTCTTAAACTTCTATTTGTACTATGAAATATTTAGTTTGAACATAAAAAACATAATCTATAGAGGTATTTTTTTTTAATTCCCATTTTTTTATACATTGAATGCATTCAATGGCCATAAATTGAATTTTGCTAGTTTTTTTTTTAACTGATGACAATTACAACCAACACCTTATAAGGTGAAGGCTGCAGAGTCTATATAAACACACGCACACCCCTTAAGGCTATTCGATGTGGGATAGCCCTTGCCCCTACCCGAATTTTGCTAGTTGAATAGATGCAAATGAGTAGAGAATGTCAAAAGTTTAGATAATTAAGTTACATTTTATCAATTAAATAGATGGATATTAGTAGTTTGAGAATGTCAAAAATTTTCATAGTTAAGTTAATTAATAAGTTACATTTGAGTGACAAACACACTTCGATTTGAAAATCTAAGTCATGCACATTAAAAATGATTTTATAGTATTATTTAATCAAAAGCATTTGACATATGTGGATATTTAGAAATGTTATAGGATTGTCAAAAAATGTCACAATTCGTTAACACGATACAAAGTTAAAAGGTTTTGATAATTTTTAAGTCATCTATTTCGTAAACAAGTGAACCTGATATGACACGATTAATAAATGTATCGGATATGAGTGAAGTCAATTAAAATAAATACATAACACGACTTGATTATTCCCTTGTAGTCAAGGCCATTAGGTAATCCCTCATTACTTCCTTTGTATTGGTGTGAATGACTTATTTTGCACGAATCAGGGAAAAGTTTAGTCCATGTGCACATAAATTAGCTCGGATACCCGGACCGCAATAACAAAAAAAGAGTAAATTACACATAAACTCCCTAAATTTTATGCCTTAATCATCTAGAACCCCTCATATTTAAAATATTATACCTAGACCTCTAAGGTCGTGTAACACGTAATCCCTATCGCCAATCTTCATTTAAGTAACCATTAAAAATTCATGAAACATAACAAATATTTATTTGCTATCAGTTAAACATTCTATAGGAGTAATTGTTTTCTATTTTTATTTGATATCAATTTGCTAATATACAGTAGAATAAGGAAACTAAAAAATGGATAAAATAGAACATATATTTCAAAAAAAAAAAAAATTAATGTCCCAAATGTCATGTCCTGGAACACCATATATTCATATTAACAATAATACTCAAACAAATTAATTTGTTTTAATAATACCCTAATTAGTATGTTTTAATAAAATCACAAATAACAAAAAACATACTAATAAAATCATGATTTTTTCTTAAAATTTGCAAAAAATATTTTTTTTAATGGAGACTGGCAAATTTTTAATGGTTACCTTAACATAGATGGACGATAAAGGTTATGTGTTATACATGCACAATCCTTAGGAGGTATAAGTGTAATATGTCAAATATGGGGTATCTAGGTGATTAAATGACAAATTTTAGAGCATGGTGTAATTACCCCAAAAAAAAACCTTTCACTGAACCATGGCGGAGCCCTTGGTCTGAAGTCTCAACCATGGTGCTTTAACACGAACCAGCACAGCCATCAACACACGGTACTGTTCCCAAAAACCTACTCTCCCCAACTCTGCCGCTACTCTCTCACCATTTCCGTCTTCACCTCTCTCTCTCTCTCTCTCTCTCTCAAATCCACCTTGATGAATCTGAAACCCTGACGTCCATGAATGGCGTCCTCACCGTCGCCGCCAATACAATGATACGATTATCGGGCATTATCAAATCACAATCACCACCACTAGGTCAGTTCAATCTTTTCCCTCTCATCAAACCCTTTTCATTATCGTCCTCTCCAATCCCACAAACCCTCGGTTCAGATCCTATTGAACCCCCACTCGACCTCTCGTCTCAGCTCCTTTCTCTCCTCGCCCACTTCAATTGGCAAAAACACCCGTCCCTCAAAAAACTAATCCCCTCCATATCCCCAACACTCCTCGCCACCTTCTTCATCCAGAACCCCAATCTCAATCCCCAAGCTGCACTCTCCTTCTTCAACTTCCTCTCCCAAAAACCCACCTTCAAACCCAATGTCCACGCCTATTCTTCTCTTTTGCAAATTCTTATCCCCAATAAATTCTTTAGTGTTTCTGAAAAACTCCGTATTTCGATGATCAAGGCCATGGAATCACCGGAAGACGCTCATTTTGTATTGAATGTTTTGAAAAAAATGAATAATTCTGATGATGCGTTCAAATTTAAGCTTTCTATTAGGTGTTATAATACAATGCTAATGAACTTATCGAGATTTCTTATGATTGATGAAATGAAATGCGTGTATCTGGAAATGTTGGATGATAAGGTCTGCCCAAATATTTATACGTTTAATGCATTGGTTAATGGTTATTGTAAGTTGGGGAATGTGGGTGAGGCTAAGTTGTATGTAAGTAAGATTTTGCAAGCTGGGTTAAGTCCGGATACACATACTTATACGTCATTGATTTTGGGGCATTGTAGGAATAAGGATGTAGATAGTGCATTTAGGGTGTTTAAGGTTATGCCACAAATGGGTCTCAGAAGAAATGAGGTTTCATATAACAATTTGATTCATGGATTTTGTGAACTTGGGCGGATAGATGAAGCTATTAGATTCTTTGATCAAATGGGTGAGGATAATTGTTGTCCAAACGTGAGGACATATACAGTCCTCATTTATGCATTGTGTGGAATAGGTAGGAAAGTAGAAGCACTAAATTTATTTAAGGAAATGACGGAGAAAGGTTGTGAACCGAATGTTCATACATATACAGTTCTCATTGATGGTATGTGTAAGGACAAGAAGCTTGATGAAGCAAGGGACTTGCTAAATGTAATGTCTGAAAAAGGTTTGGTTGCAAATGTGGTGACATACAATGCTTTCATTGATGGGTACTGTAAGGCAGGAATGATTGATGCTGCACTTGAGGTAGTTGACTTGATGGAATCAAACAGTTGCAGTCCAAATGTTCGCACATACAATGAGTTGATTTGTGGGTTATGCAAAGCAAAAAAAGTGCACAAGGCAATGGCACTACTTACTAAGATGCTTGAGCGAAAGCTGTCACCTAATTTGATCAGCTATAACTTGTTGATTCATGGTCAGTGTGAAGTGGGTAGTATAGATTGTGCTTTTAGATTGCTCATTTTGGTGAATGAGAATGGTTTGGTTCCTGACCAATGGGCTTATGGTGCTCTTGTGGATGCCCTATGTAAAAAGAGGAGGACTGAAGAAGCTCATACCCTATTTGACTCTCTAAAGGAGAAGGGTGTAAAGACAAATGAAGTGATTTATACTTCTTTGATAGATGGTTATTGCAGAGCAGAGAAAACTGATGTTGCCCTAACATTGTTTGAGAGAATGCTAAAAGAAGAATGCCTTCCAAACTCATCCACCTACAATGTGCTGATTGATGGGCTATGTAAAGAGAGTAAGGTGCATGAAGCATCCCTGCTACTGGAAAGGATGGTAAATGTTGGCGTGAAACCCACCGTTGTTACTTACACAATTCTCATTGATCAAATGTTAAAAGAATATGCTTTTGACAACGCTTATAGAGTTTATAACCAAATGCTTTCCTTGGGATATAAGCCTGATGTATGCACTTACACGTCATTTCTTCTTGCATATTGCAACCAAGGAAAGTTGAAAGAAGCGGAGGATGTGATGTCAAAAATGAGTGAGGAAGGTGTCCTGCCTGATTTGAAGACTTACACTGTATTAATTGATGCATATGGACGATCAGGATTGACACATCGTGCTTTTGAAGTTCTCAAATGTATGGTTGACTCTGGATGTGAACCTTCTCCCTATACCTACTCAGTTTTAGTCAAGCATCTCTCAAATGAAAAGCATATGAAAGAAAGCGGCAAGAGAATAGGACTTGAGCCAAATAAAAATGTCCCCTCCATTAATATTGCTGATGTGTGGAAAATAATGGAATTTGATACTGCTCTGGAGCTCTTTGAGAAAATGATTGAACACGGTTGTTCACCTACTGTGAACACTTACAATGCACTCATTTCAGGACTTTGCAGAGAAGGGCGTTTTCAAGAAGCCTGGAGGTTAGTTGGTCATATGAAAAATAAAGGACTGTCTCCCTGTGAAGATATGTATAACTCTCTCTTGAATTGCTACTGCAAGTTGGGAATGTATGAGGAAGCAGTGGGGCTGCTTGACACTATAGTTGGTCTTGGTCTTTTACCACATCTGGAGTCATATAAGCTTCTTATTTGTGGGTTGTATGATGAAGGAAATAATGAGAAGGCTATGGCAGTTTTCTCTAGTCTTCTTCAGTGTGGGTTCAATCATGATGAAGTAGCTTGGAAGCTTTTAATTGATGGCTTACTTATGAGGGGTCTTGTTGACAGATGCTCTGAACTGGTGGATGTCATGGAGGAGAAAGGTTGCCATCTCAATACTCAAACATATTCGATGCTTATTGAGGGACTAAATGATAGAACAAATGCGATGTAAGATGTGTATTTGGATTTGTTCTTTTGGTGGTATTATTTGGTACTGTTTCTTTTTCCTTTTTCAATTTTTTATTGTTCTTGCTTTCATTATTCTTTTTTTTTATTTGACAAATCATTTTCTGTCTAGTTCAAAGGAATGCTTAAAGAGGAGTATCCTCGTAGACCATGGTTAAATCTCCTAAATCATTTATGGGACTAGTATTTCATTCCCGCACCAGCTTCTTCTGGTGTTTGAAGCACAATTCACATGATGGGAATTCATATACAAGCAAAGTGAATTACCAACACAGTTCAGGTATCTAAATTCATCCATTTCGTATGTTTCCTGCAATCAATTTGTGACCTCAGCAATTGTGAATGCATGTTGAAACCAGATGATTTGCTTTGTTCTTTGGTAAATTAACCGGTTGATTGATTTGAAGTCTTACAATAGGATTATTATGACTTTTCCATTTGGCCTTGAAAAGTTAGTAATGAATTATGTGCCTGTTTGTTGATCATAAAGTCATTGATTCCTTTTGGTCGGAAGGCTTCTTGTTGTCTATTTGGTTTCAATTTGTGATAGCATTCAATTTATGCATTAGAATGACTGTTTGACATACTTGGAACATTAAAAAATGTATGCACTTGGATGCATATGTGGCAATCTAGGCAAAAGATTCACATTCCATGGTCACAACCAAAATAGTTGATTCTTCTGTATGTAGGGTCTGGTTTATTAGGTCATTCAGTTGATTCTAAAATATATACACCTGAACACACCTACATTCGAACATATACATACAAACTTGGTCTATTGAGCTGGCTTCATATTCGAACTATGTACATGAGAGATAGCAGTAATAAAATATCCTGTTAGAAGAGATGAGGTTGACTTTTAGTTTTTTATAATTATGCAGTTGGAGTTCTTTATATCCTGGACCTTTTGGTCTGTGAAGGAGATTTTGAAGAGGGTGAGCTGCCATCATGCCCCTTTGGAGATTGCAATGGAGAGCTTAGCTCAGTCCATACCGACAGTTTGAGGTCAAGTTCAGGTGTTCTGTTTACCTTTCCTGCTCTACATATTGCCATACTTCCAATAAACATGCATAATCTATTTCGTCCCACCTCTTGCCACAATTTTATGACTGGTTCTGTTGAAACTTGGTGGATGACCCGATTGTTTCCAAGTGGGGTTCTGTCCACTCTACATAGACACATAGTTTCATTGATTTTTGGTTTTAAATCCCTCAAGTTATGTCAAGGCCTATTGGTGGCCACTTGAACTTGAAAAATAAGCTGTCCCCATTGTTACCAAATCTCGTGTAAACTTATTTTATAGTCCATCTAGTATCTGTAAGAGTTCCCAATTTTTGGCAAGAATCTTCTTGTTGTATTGTCAAGTTGCTTTGTTCTGCTGTCTTACAATCTTTTTGACTGACACGCAACTTTATCGCGTAGTTTGGAGGGACATTGATTGCATGTTGCCTCTGTAGTTTGCCTTTAATAATTTGGTGTATCAGAATCTTAGACTTTCACTTCACAGTGAAATTGATTTTTCTCACTATATGATCTGTTGCCATTTCTATTTCATAAATAGGCTAGGCTTCCGTATTGATCAGTTGCAGTTAGCCACTCCAACCACCAGGAAAGTTGTCAGGGATATGGCATCCGTTACTCTCATTAGATAGTATAAGCCCGCAAATGTGGAGCAGGTGCCAAAGTTGGACAAACATGAGGAGAGAAATGATTGAGACAACATGTCGATAAAGGACATAATTATGCTAGAGAAATAAAAGGAAGAATTCTTTATATGAGTATTTGAGCAGGATGACCATTGTCTACCTGTCTGACTAGTTTTATTTTGAACTTCACAAAAGGGACTGAATTTTGCTGATATCTGAGCTAAGGATGTGCTTCTCCTTTGCACATGAATGTATATCTGCAACTATAGGAAGCTCACCTTGACTGGAATGTTAAAAGACCTGCCAATCTGCGATGGTCAACCTAAAAGCTGATACATAAGGTAGAAAAATTTGTTCGGGATGGATTTAAGTTGATACCCGCTATTTTTCAATACATGTACCTGATTCTGTAGCTTTTGTTAATATTTGGCAACATTCTAGTCCACAGTGATCTGTAACCCATACAGATTCAACTATATATTCCTACCAAGAAGAAAACTGCCTCCTATCAGCAGGCTGGTCTGTTTGTGTGACCATGATTCACTACTTCCCTTGGTTGTCCTTAATGAATTGATGCAAGGGAAGTGATTCGGATTTAGGAGTCCATACAATATAATTGTCCATCTACCAAACTTACCTTGGGAACGTTTCGTTCCCCTGCTAAATATTTTGCCCTCGAAACAGGATAGTTGCTGGATTCATAGATTTATTTTCAGATGATAAAGGTTTTATTTGATTTTATTTCAGAAACCATTTAAATTTAGAAACGCTGGCACTTGATTTTCTTTCTATTGGACCTGAACGGTGGAGGAAAGATATTCAGCTTGTATTCAAGTTTTCATCTGTTTCTTTTGTCACCGAAAGCTTTTCACCTGTTTGAATTGCCATTTTTCAAATGAATTGTTATCAGTCCTCTAACTTTCTTTTCTTTTGTTTATAATCCTCATTGGTCAGTATTTTATTGGGAACAAAAGGAGTAAGAGTCAGTTAGAAAGCGCTCCCAGGATTGTAAGGAGCAATAACACTGATCTTACAGGAAAGAAGGTAAGTCAAAATAAATTTCTCGTCTCTCGATACTTTATTCTTTTGTTTACACATCCGACTTTGTGAAAATTTGCCATGTCTCTTTAATATGAGAAATAAAGGTCTTTTTTCTTGCAATTATTGAGATTAAAATCAATAATAACAGAAAGAAGACGGCAGAAATTTAAGATTTTTGGGCTTTTACTTTGTTCCAGTTGGGAAGTGAAGATTCTTTTCAATGCCACCTATGTTGTAGATTGATTCTTCTTTTACTATTTGTTGAAATGGAAGAAGATTATAAAGTAGGATACCCTTAACCTTAATATATGCAAACAGAAGATGCATGGTGAGATCGCATATGAATTTATAAATCTTTTTCATTTTAAAACTATCTAGTTAGAAACTCTTTCAGCTTGGGTTTCTGGTTTGATTGTCTCTAGAAACAGCAGATGTAAAACTTCTTTGCATTTAATGAATAGCAGATCGAGCAACAATGCGCTATGGGAGATTTACAAGAAAGTTCTGCAACTATTCAAGCAACAATTGATGGTTTTGCAAGTTCATTCTAGTGGTTGCATGATGCATAGAAAGGAACAAAAAAGCAGAGTGCTGGGTATGTCACTTTTGGGCTTTCTAAATACAATTAGTCTGCCCATTTTCTATATGACTCAGATATGTTGCACCAAAATAAAACTAGCCAATACATATTGATAAGCAAAGAGTAATAAGTACATTGCAAATTGTCAATGTTAATTGATATGCTTTGAATAGCTTATGAATAAGAACCCACATTCTCTGATTTTGCTCTTGCTCCAACTTTCAAGCAAGCCAGTTATTAAATTTCCTAGGAAATCCAATTGTTTCCTTTATTAAACAGTTAGCACCTTCAGGAGACAATTTGGTTGATTGTGTAGTCTCATATTTCTTCTCTTGCATTCACATATTTTCCTAAGATAATTCCCATTTTCTAGCTTCTTTTATCTTGTTCTTTTTATTTGCAGCACAATTTAGATAGACTTCAAGATCAAATGTTTTGGTCAATATATTACCACTATGTGGCTTAACTATCAAAATTTTAGATTGCAAATAGATGAGCTCATTGGGTTAGCAAAATGTTTCCTTACCAATCCACTATTGCTGTTAGATCCTTTTCAATATTGGGAAATGCACTGCTAATTAACTCTAACCGTGAATTGAGTCAGCAAATTGTGATAGTGAATTGGATTTAAGTATCCAAGTGGCATTACTTTTATTTCAACGGTGGCTCATTTGTTCGGTAAAAGCTTGTAGTATGGGGACTCTTCCTTTTAACTGGAACTCAATTATTCCTGGTGGTTTATTATAATCCCATGTTACGAGATGGTCAAGGCCTAAGTCATTGAAAAGATCGTTTCAAAGTTAAACCCACCGGGGTAGCTCACTGGTGTGGGGTTGAACTTGGGGCGAATGGGAAGTTGAGATGTCCTAAGTTCCGGGTTTAAACGATACCTGTGGGTGAGTGCAAGTATTTGGGAATTACTTTGCATGAGTAAGTCTAATGTGGCCCTGCCAGAGGCATTCCTCGTTATAAGAAAAAGTTGTTTTAAAGTTTGAAACCCTGGTAGCTTGTAACATGTTAAAATGCAATACCTCCTTTCTCCTGGGAAATTATCCTAATTTTCTGGTTGAAGTCATTAGTCTTATGGTAAAAGTAACTTTAGATTGGTTTGATTTGTGTATGAATTTGTCACTGCACCCCCCCCCCCCCCCTCTCTTTCTTTCTTCCTGTCTTTTTTTTTCCCTTGTGTCTGGAATTTATACCCTTTTCCAAACTAACACATCTATAGTATCACATGTATAGATGTATGATGCATGAAGATCACATTTGCAATTTTGATATTATTTCACGTAAGTCTTCTATTTAGGTAATTAGTTAATGGTCACCATTACGCAATGCATGGAAAATGTAAATACATATATTATTCTTGTTGCCATTGTCTGGTGGGGATGAAGAACATGACTTTATCATTTTATACATGCATTATATTTGTTATGCCCAATTCTTTTATAAATGCATCAGAGAAGAGAGACAGAGAGAGAGAGTCCATGGTTAAAGCTGACAAGCTACACGTAGTTGTGTTCCCATGGTTAGCCTTTGGTCATATTATCCCATTCTTAGAGCTTTCCAAGCTCATAGCTGGGAAGTGTCACAAAGTCTCCTTCATATCAACCCCTAGAAACATTGATCAACTGCCAAAATTTCCTCCAAACTCAGCTCCTCTACTGAGTTTAGTGAAGCTCCCTGTATCCCAAGTCGACAACTTCCCTGAACATGCAGAGGCCACCATTGACGTGCCCTATGACAAGGTCCAATATTTGAAAAAAGCCTTCGACGGTCTCCAAACTGAGTTGACTCAGTTCCTCAAGATCTCAAACCCCGATTGGATCATCTATGACTTTACCTCTCACTGGTTGCCCCAAATTGCAAGTCAACTTGGCATTGCACTTGCCTTCTTTAGTACAGTAAATGCATGGTCCGGGGCTTTCTTTGGATCGGCGATCACCATGGCGAACTCCGCTGATTATCGTACGAAGCTGGAGGACTTCACCGTCGCACCGAAATGGGTTCCATTTCCATCTTTTATCGCTTTTCGGCTCCATGAGATAAAGAGATTGTACAACAGTGTTGATGACAATATTTCTGGCATTTTGGACGCGTCGCATTTTGGGAAGACTGTAATGGGATGCGACGTGTTTCTCATAAGGAGCTGTACAGAGCTTGAACCTAACTGGTTGGACCTCTTGCAAGAGCTCCAACATAAGCCAGTTGTACCAGTAGGTTCATTGCCACCCTCGTTCCAAGGCGACTAGGGTGGCAAGGATGATACTTGGCACACAATCAGTGTATGGCTGGACATACAAGAGAAAGAGTCTGTTGTATATGTAGCACTCGGGAGCGAGGTGACACCGAGTCAAGCTGAACTCACAGAGTTGGCTCTAGGGTTAGAGCTTTGTGGTTTGCTCTTCTTTTGGGCTCTAAGGAAGCAGCATGACTTGGCCAACTCGTTTGAGTTACCAGATGGGTTCCTAGAGTGAACCGAAGGTTGTGGTCGTGAAGTTGTATGGACGAGTTGGGTGCCTCAACTCAGGATACTAGCACATGACTCGGTGGGTGTTTTCGTGACTCACTGTGGTTGGAGTTCAGTCATTGAAGGACTGCAATTTGGGCGGCCATTGATCATGCTGCCTTACTTGGGAGACCAAGGGTTGATTGCTAGCGCTATGGAAGAGAAGAAAGTTGGAATAGAGATACCAAGAAACGAAGAAGATGGCTCGTTTACTCGGAACTCGGTAGCTGAGTCACTGAGTTTGGTGGTGGTTAATGTTGAAGGAAGGACTTATAGGGAGAAAGCAAAGGAGATGAAGACAACATTTGGAGACAAAGATCTTCATAGCCAATACATAGACAAACTGGTCGAGTACCTTAAAAAACATAGGCATCTTCCCACCGACGATTAATGCATCATATGAATACAAAACTTCCTAAATAATGCACAATATATAATGGATAGTTTTGTGTATTTTACGTTATCTTGCCATGTAAGCATGATATATACTTTATAATATAAATGTAATGTCCTTGTTAAATGTGTTTTTTTTTTTTCTTAATCTTTCTCTCCCTGTGGTCGAACCTGTTTTTACTTCTTCTACTCGTCAGACTTGTTACGTTTATCACTTTACTCGTTGATCCTAATCTGATTTTGAACTCATCACCCCAAGCAAATGAATAGTTTAGTACTCTTAGAAAATATCATATTGTACTCTTAGAAATGTAATAATAAAGGGCAGGACGGAGCCAGAAATTTTGTTCAGGGTGGACACTTTAATTATATATTTTAATTTTTTCCTTTCTAACCAATCACACTATATAACATATTTATATTTATTCTATTATATTTAATATATGAAGTCTATTTAACATAAAAAATTTCTAAAAAAAAAATGTATATTGTCAGGGACGGAGCTATGAATATCTATGATAAGGCAAAATATAACTGGTATAAAAAAATATTTAGCCAAAATTAATACAAAAAAATTCAGTTCAAGAAAAAAAAAAGAAGTAAGAATGAACACTAAATTATTGTGAAATAGTAAATTTAATTTTTATTTAGTCGAAACAAAATCTTAACAAAATGACACAAAATAAGTTTTTTAGTACATTTTAACCTAATTATATATTTCAATAAAATATAAAAATTTTAAAATTTCTAAAATTTTGTATATGAATTAAATGTAAATTAATGTTTCAATAATTTTCTATCAATGCGTACAATCACAAGTACGTAGTAAAATTATTCTTTATTTAGTTACAAAATTTAGTTGAGATCATTATCAATTTTATAGGGAAATTTATTATTCAAAATAGTTTAAAATATTTTTGGGTCACAACCTTTTATTTTTTGTATATAATCGTATTTTATTAAGTTATAGACTATTATTACTAAAAAAAAAGGTAAATAAAAACTAAAATTATTGTTAAAAAGTGACGAACATTGTGTTAGATAAAGAGAAATATTGTACTTTCGTCAATATACAAATAGAACATTGACTTAATCCAAAATTAACATATTTATTTTAGAGGGTTAGTGGTCCACTAATTTATTAAAAAAAAAAAGGACTAGAATCACTATTAAAATTTTCAAAAATTTAGGGGGTAAATATAATGTATAAAATAATTTTATAAGTTGGTGCAAAGAAGGACAAAAAACTCAAGGAATTGAACTTCTCTGTTTCTTCTCTTTTTCTTGTGGCTAGGCAGTGGGCAATGGACAGTTGACAGTGAGCGATACAGAGAGAGAAAAAAAAAAGGAAAGATAAGATAGATTTTAGTCAAGTGGGCCAAAAGTTTTGTTTTATAATTATGGTGGACCAAAAATTTTGCTTTTGGGCCAACATTTTTTTTGTTTTTAATGTTAGGCTAAAAGTTTTGTTTTTTCAATAGGTTTGAGTGGATTATGATAGATCAAATATTTTATTTTGTAATAAATTTGGGTAGATAATAGTGAGTTTAATTTTTTTTTGTTTTAAATGGACTTAATTTTTTTATTATTTTAGGTAAATAATGTGAGTCTAATATAAATTAGGGGTATATATATATATATAATATATATCTAACTAATAAAAAAAAAAAAAAAATTGAGGGGCGGGGGAGGGACATGCCCACCTGCCCCTGCCTCCCTCCGGCTATGATAAAGGTTTAGGCGATTGACCAATCTCAAAATGATAGAAAAGTAATAAAAATACTATATCAAAAAGCTTTGCCAAACGGTAATCGAAGAAATTGGAAATAAGTTGGACAAGGATAGGGAAAGAAGTGTTTAACAAAATTTGTTTGTTTGTGGTCTCCTTCGTATCCTTATCCTCTGAAAGGTGTTATGATTGAATTTAATGGCGCAAATAATCATTTAGAAGGACCTTTCACTACTTTTTATTTTTATTTTTATTTTTGAATTAATGATGAGATAACACTTAATATTTTCTCGTCTTGAAGTTGGTAGTAAGCTCTGCAAGAAAAGACAAAACAGTGGGTACCAAGTCTATTTCAAAGTTTGGTCTTACTTCATATTCGTACCTTAATAATATTGATACTAAGGATGACACTCCACACAAAAATGAGTATTCATTCAAATTAATTCTATTCGGATAAAAGATAGATCATATATATTGGATAATAGATGTATACAAAAATATACATATAAACTCATGTGAGAATGAAAACAGAGATGGACTAACACTTACTCCTACCCTGTCCCTCCTTGCTCCGCCTTACCCATTATTATCTATATATATGTGTGTGTGCGCGCGCGCGCGCGTGTTGGGAATATAAATCTACATATTATTAAATTTTTTTTTTTTAAAAAATTATTTTATTTTATTTTTTGATATTTTTAACTCGTAAAAGTATAAATCTTTATGTTTTTAGGTTTTTTTTATATTGGATTATATTACGTTACATTATATTGTGTTGCATGATGTTGTGTTAGATTTATATGAAATATAAACTTTTAATTATATTATGTTGGAATATGTTAGATTATTTAGAATGTTATATTTATTTAAAATTTTAGATTATGTTGGCTTAGGTTGGGACGGGTAAAGTGGATGCGGGCGGGGCCGGGGGTGAAGGTGAGGGACACGACAGGGGCATGGATTAAAAATTTATCGACGAACGGAGATAGAGATGAAAATTATACTCGTTAACGATGGTAGGTCAGATATGGACGATTTTTTTTTAAGTGGGTATAAGAATGGAAACTATACTTTCAACTCCTGCTTCGGTCCACTACTATCCTTAAACAATACGTTATGATTAAAAGTGGCACAATTATCATTATTATATGATATTACTAATTAATAGTAATAAATTAATATCAAGTGGATCCTAAATAATTTAACAACTATCACATTCATATAAAACAATAATTATTGTGTATAAAAAATTATTAATTTTTTGGGTTAATTATAAATTATACTTCGAAAGATCTCTCGAATCTCAATTTACACTTTCAAAAATATAAATTTATATCAATGCGTATCTAAAGTTAACAGATGTCAATTTGTTGTCTAAACTGGTTAGGTAAGTTACACTTAAACTCCCTCAAGATTGTAATTTAATCATTTGATTCCCTTCATATTACTCTTATACCTCTTGATAGTTGTGCACATGTAACATATAACCCTTTATCGTTGACATCTGTTAATATAATCCTTAAAAAACACCATGCATTATAATAAAAAATTATAATTTTTATACTACATATTATTTTGTGAATCCATTATATTCTAAAGTTCAAAATTAAGCTTACTATTTAATTGTCTAATATAATATAAATATTTATATAATATTTTTTATATCCAATACAATAATACATCACTTAAACAGAATTATTTGAATGCTCAATTAAGAGAACATTTTTAGTCATATTTAAATTTTTAAGAAATCTATATGTAATATTTTAAATGTGAGGTTTAAATGATTAAGTGACAATCATAAGGGGTTTAAGTATAATTTATCTATTTAATTTTAGACGATAAATTGACGAATTGTTAATTTCAGCTATATATTGACATAAATTTATATTTTAAGGGTACAAATTGAGATTCGAATAATTTTTTAAATTCCAATTTATGATTAACCTTTATTTTTGTTTTTTTGCTTATTTATAAATTTATTAGTAAATGATGTAATTTCACCGGTAGCTCCAATATTTCCTTTATAAAGAGTAAGAGCGTCTCCCACTTAAGGAAACCCTTCGTTTCATAGTCTCTCAGTCGGTCATACCAGCCCCACACACAAAGCTTCTGCGCACCTCTCACCGCCATGGCCAGCGAATCCAAGCTTCACGTAGTGATGTTCCCATGGCTAGCTTTCGGTCACATGATCCCATTCCTTGATCTCTCCAAGTTCATTGCCCAAAAGGGTCACAAAGTCTCCTTCATCTCCACCCCAAGAAATATCAAACGCCTCCCAAAACTTCCTCCAAACTTAGCCTCCCTCATAAACCTAGTTCACCTTCCTCTACCTCGAATCCACAATCTCCCTGAACATGCAGAGGCCACCATTGATGTCTGTGCAGAGGACATCGTCTTCCTCAAGAAAGCCTTTGATGGTCTCGAAAATGATTTCTCTCAATTTCTCGAAAACTCTTCAGCGGATTGGGTTATTTATGACTTTGCCCCTCATTGGTTACCCCCAATAGCTGCAAAGCTGGGCATTTCGTGTGCATTCTTCTCCATCGTCAGCGCTTGGTTTATCCCCACCATTGGACGATCAGCTTCTATGATGATCGACGGATCAGATCCACGGAAGTCGCCGGAGGATTTTACAGTGCCACCTGAATGGATACCTTTTCCGACGAACCTAGCGTATCGGCGATATGAGAGCAACTGGATCCAGAGCGCAATTGAAAACACTGATTCAGGGGTTTCGGATGCTTATCGTTTGGGCTCGACGATTATGGGGTGTGACGTCATTCTTATCCGAGACTGTAACGAGCTCGAACCTGCTTGGTTGAAGCTTCTCGAAGAGCTTTACCAGAAGCCTGTAATTCCAGTAGGTTTAATGCCTCCGTCGGTGAAAGATTCCGGCGATGAGAAAGATGAGAAATGGGTCTCTATCAGAAATTGGCTTGAAAGCAAAAACAAAGGGTCTGTGGTGTATGTTGCACTGGGGAGCGAGGTGACACTGAGTCAAAATGATGTCACTGAGTTGGCTCTGGGGTTGGAGCTATCTGGGTTACCTTTCATCTGGGCTTTAAGAAAGCCCCCGGGTTCAACCGAGTCTGACTCGGTTGAGTTGCCAAATGGGTTCTTGGAGCGAATCAAAGGGCGTGGGCTTGTTTGGACGAGTTGGGTGCCTCAACTCAGGATATTGTCTCATGACTCAATTGGCGGGTTCTTGACACACTGTGGTTGGAGTTCAATTGTAGAGGGTTTAATGTTTGGGCACCCACTCATTA